TGACCAATATTTTAGGTTTTAAAAAAACAATAAAAGCAATTAATATGTATTTTCCCTTTTTACCCGTAAGCCTTAAAGTAAAAGGAAGTTAGATTTTTCAAATTGAACGGTATCTTCACTGGAAAGACGAAGCATCTTCACTGCCATTTTTAAATTGAGTTCATGACATAGGTGTTTAATGTGCTTTTTCTTCGGAAGTGATAGGACTACTGGCTTAATGTAGGATTACAAATCTTCTAGAAATAATAGGATTTTTTCTCATTTATATCACAGATTCCTGAAAGCATGCCATAGGACACACACACACACACATTCTTTGTTGCTAAAGGTGCCAGATTTTGGAGAACATAATACAAACAATTGCAGCATCCTTTAAAACTAGGGCAGAACAATATCACAGGCATTATGGTTAAATTTATTTATGGACTCAAATTTTTGATTTTGTACTAGACTATCGAGAATTTTTAATAGATTTGCAGATTTATTTTAAAAAATAACAAAAGTACAAGACAAAAAAGTTTGCTAATATAATGCATTTGACTATTAGAGAGAATGATGTTTGTTGAGTATAGAAGCATGGAGTTAGTAGCTAGATTTTAGATGCTTATATAGTATGTCAAATCACTATAACATGTCTGCATATTTGTCTGCTTATTCTTCTTTTTGTATAGAAGCAACTTCAATATACGTAGTCTTTAAAAACTATTGGAAGATACATTCAATTGAGTTTCTAATAGTTTTGTGCTATTTATAGGATGGAGTACATATACAACATTGATGATCGCTATGATGCAAAGGTTACAGCACGTTCAAACGTATTAAATGTGGAGAAAGTATATAATGTATTAGATGATGTCCATAAGGAGATGTTCTTGAAGTCATGCTTCGATAAACTATACGACATTAGGAACATAAAAATATCTGCCCAACTCATTCATAACTTGTTATTACAAAGAGTTGTCTCTATCAACGAGGAAGAACTGTGGTTTTGTTTAGGGAATGAAAAGGTTGTTCGTTTCTCCGTGTACGAGTTTACACTCATCACAGGATTAAACCTTGCTGAAGAGGATGAATACCAAAGCCAAATAGATGAAAATAATAGATTTTTTTTACTTGTCACTTGTATTATCTTACAATTCTGTATCTTTTTCTTCAATGTAACATATAAATTGGGTCATATCAACTTAGAAGACGCAAAAAAATGGTTCAACGATGTGTTGAAACCAGGGGGATGGTTTTTGGATGATGTAAGTACGTTAACTCATTCTTGTATTTTTCAATTGATTTGTATATAACTATGTATTCAACTTTCAGCATGTTAACATGGTTTTGCATTTGTTGCCAGCTCAGGCAAAAAATTATCCCAAGTCATTTGGTGGTTCGCGAGCTATTCCGGACGTGCAATTTAATAATGAATTGAACTTTGCTTTGTTTGATTTACATGAGAGGAGATCATTTTAGAACGCCGATCGAGCTAATGGAATATATCACCATGGCAAAACCATCATTTGGAAGGAAATGGCAGGAATGTACACATGCACACTTTCCGTTATGTACTCGCAGACATTGGCTCACAGTTGAGATTGACTTTTGCAAAGCGACAATGTTTGTGTATGATCTTGATAAGGGTTGCATTACGAGCGATCAACTTAAAGATGACTTGAAGGCTGCTAGTATCATTGTCCCACTACTTTTTAAGGAAATCAACATCAATTTAGAGACAAATAATCTTGTTATAGAAAGGAATACCAAAACCACTAAACAAGCCATTTTGTAAGTTTTTTATTATAATAAAATATTCACTTTTTCATATTGATTTAGTCGTTTCACTTCATTTACCATTATTTATTATCTTCCAGGAGGACAAGTTAATGGCTTCTACATGAATAGATGGAGGAAAAAGATGGCTACCGATATTTTTGTCCTTGCTTATGATCCATATGACCTTTTGATGTATTTGTATATCTATGAGTTATGAATGCAAATTTAATTTTGTAGTGCATGTGGAATGTGGGGTTTTTTGTGTTATGAATAGTAGTTTATTTTTCATATTGATTTAGTTTATATTACAAGGGAGATAATGTCAAATTTTTTCAAAAAATGTTAGTTTATTTTTCAGTTTTTTCGAAGAGAACAAATTTAGTCGTTTAAAAAGGTTGTAATCGTTTTTAACAAAAAGACTCTAGTTGTTTAAAAAGACTGTAATCGTTTTCCTAAACGACTCTAGTCTTTTTAAACGACCATAGCAGTTTTCTAGTTTTTTTAAACGACTATAGTCATTTTTCTAAACAACTTAGTTGTTTACAATTTGTTTCGTTTAAACCGTATAGGCCAATGAAATTCATTACAAACAATTCATTGTGCTCTACGAATAATATTCAAGTATACCGTATTTATATTCCAAGTGTACGACTTACAATAAAGTGTAATGTAATGAGGTGAGAATCGAACTTTTAACATTATAGATCGGATTTGGCTTCGACTTGTTAGTTTAAAATGAATAAGAAGACGAACTTCTTTACATACAATTCATCGTGCGCTACAAACAAAATTCAAGTATACCGTATTTAGATTCTAAGTGTACGTCTTACAATAATGTATAATGTAATGAGGTGAGAATCGAACTTCTAACATTATAGATCGGATTTGGCTTCTACTTGTTAGTTTAAAATGAATTAAGAAGATGAACTTCATCACATATAATTCATCATGCTCTACTTACGTTATGATTCAAGTATACCGTATTTAGATTCTAAATTTGCTACTTACAGTAATATATAATGTAATACGAGATGAGAATCGAACTTCTAACATTATGGATCGTGTTTGGTTTCAACTTATTAGTTTAAAATGAATAAGAAGACGAACTTCGTTACGTATAATTCATCGTGCTCTACTTAAGTTATAATTCAAATATACCGTATTTAGATTATAAGTTTACTACTTACAATAATGTATAATACAATGTGAGGTGATAATCGAACTTCTAACATTATAGATCATGTTTGATTTCAACTTATTAGTTTAAAATGAATAAGAAGACGAACTTCGTTATATATAATTCATCGTGCTCTACTTATGTTATAATTCAAGTATACCGTATTTAGATTCTAAGTTTGCTACTTACAATAATGTATAATGCAATTTGTGGTGAGAATCGAACTTCTAACATTATAGATCGTATTTGAATAAGGAAAATCATAATGTATAACATTTGAAATCTTGTTTGGTTAGATTTCAAATTATTTCGTACAAAAATGTATAGAAAAACGAGCATATAAGTGAAAAATGAGATGGGAATTTGCAAAACGACTAAAGTCGTGCTACACTACTTCGATTGTTTTCATGTAAACAACTGGAGTCGTTTAAAGAGACTATAGTTGTTTTCTTACAAAACGACTCTGGTCATTTTAAACGACTGGAGCCGCTTTTTTTTTTTTTTTTATTTAAAAAAACGATCAAAGTTGTTTTCCATTTATCATTTATTATATAAAATAAAATACTATGAGAAAACTACCTAATATTCATAAAATACAGATTTGGGATGAATTATGACAAAAACTCATAACATAAAACATAAATTGTAATAACTTGTCATAACATGCTATCAACTAAACAAACAATATACTAATCCTCCAATCTATGATTTCAATCTATTTCGTCCAAAATGTATAGGAAGACGAACTTTGTTATTACAACTCATCTTGCTCAATTATATGTAGTTCGAGTATATCGTATTCAATCCTAAGTATGCCTTTTACAATTGGTTTCAATAAGTTAAAACATCATTTTATATTGAAAAATGTGACAATCAAATTTGTAACCATTTAAACAATATTTGATTTTTAACATATTTCATGTAAAAACGTATAGAAAGGTGAACTTCATCGTCATACCCCACTACACACTGTTCAAATATATCACATTCGATTTTTATGCATACGATTTATATTTTGATTGCGATAAATTAAATCATCATGTATAATGAAAGATGGTATGTCAGTTAAACATCTAAACTTTTAGATTGTGTTAGATTTCAACTTATTTCATTTAAAAAGAAGTATAGAAAGATGAACATTGTTTCATACAATCCTTGGTGCTTCACTGCACACAATTCTAGCATACCATATTCGATTTTTAATTACATGACTTACAATTGATTTTGAACAAGTTAAACTATCATTTATAATGAAAGAAAAAATGTCTTTCAAACTTCTAACAATTGGTTTCGGTAAGTTCATGTATAATGAAAGACAAGATGCTAATCAAATAAGGAACCTTCTAAACTATATTCAACTTACAAATGTATCTAAATAGATTTTATGTTTGTCGTGAGTTGGTCGTGACCATGCAAATCACAACCAGAGGCTTTTATGAAATAAAAAAATGACTAAAGTCGTTTTTCTCATAAAACGACTTTAGTCGTTTAAATCGACTGGAGTCTTTTTTCATTGTTTATTTTTTACTGAAAATGTTATAGAAAGGATATTATAGTCATTTACATAAATGACATTTAAGACTTATCAACAATATAGATAAGACATTTTAGCATAAAAGAGACCTTAAAAACTTATTTGGAGTAAGTTAGGCCTTAAAAAGTTTTGAAGGATTTGACTAGGCCTTTTTAAAAAATACTCCGTTTGACTTCCTATCTCTTGTGTGGGGTTCATAACGATTATATTTTTTATTTTCATTCTTATATTAATATGTACCAAACGGGGCCTTAAAATGAGTTTTGAGAAAATGAATTTTAGCCTTCGTTTGTTTCTCATTTTGAAAAGAATGAGTATAAAAATATAGTTGTTATGGATGCTACACAAGAGATAAAAATTCAAATTCGATAATTTGATGTGAGAATAACGATCATATTTTTCATTTTAATGAGTAAAAAATAAGAACCAATAAGGGGTTAATAAGAATGAGAATCAAATATTGGCCGGAAGATAAGAATGTTCTATCCCTTTGCCGTGGGTTTCCTCTACCAGCACGTGTCGAGATTTTGCCTAATTTTAAAATTCCAATTCGTTAATCAGAAATCTACTACTTGTATGGTCCAGATCACCAAAATCACAGAATTCGCCATACATCTTTCTAACATACACCAAAATCACAGAATCTCTAAATCTTTCCAAAATTTTTGTACCTCTCTCTCTCCCCTTCAATAGCCTCTTATTTCGAACAGAGATACACGATTTACTTCAGCAATATCTATGCTTTGCAAAGTAAAGTAATATTTATTCTTGATCTTTTCCTACTGTATTCCTAGAGGTTTGATCTAGTGTTTTCGGATCGACTTAGAAAAAGCTAGAGGGAATGGCGAGTCCTGTCAACGTTGCTCAGGTAATCGAATTTAATTCAATGGAAAAATATATATGTATGTGTGCATGCATGTCGTGTAATCGTTTTATTAAATTGTTACTGTCTTGAGATTGATCCGTTCTTTGTATGATTAGGTGGGTTCGTATTTCATTCAGCAGTATCATCAGATGTTTCATCAGCAAAGGGATACGGTGCATCAGTTTTACACCGATGATAGTTCCATGAGTAGAATTGATGGGGATTCAAGTGAATCGTTTTCGGGAAGGGTGGTAAGTTTCTTTTCAACTTACAAATTTTGTTTTTGGATTTTGATTATCTTGTGATAGATCGGATTAAAGTTTTCATCCTGTCTCAGTTATACTTTTAGATTTTTTTTTTGTGATGACATCGATAATATGGGGGTTAGTATGAATTTTATTATTATTTTTTTTTTTGGGGTGATTAGGCTAATTTGTTGTGATATTATTGTTATCGTCTGCATATTCATGCTTACACTTTTCTTATGTACTTGTAATTCTCGTCATTTAACATTTCTGTTAGGCATATTTTTGGCTATAAGAATTTCAAGAATGAAAGAAATGACTATTGAAGTAGTTGTAATGAAACATTAAGCATAACAAATTGGGTTTACATGGAATTCCACGCGTTAACATGTTCGACAAATCTTAGTTACTAACGAAATATCCTTTTAACTAATGGATAGTTCCTCGTTGATACCATGCTCTGGTTTGTTAATCATTGATATTTCTTGGTAATTTACTTGCTACATGATACCTTCACAAATAGACAAGTAAGTTTGTCCTCATTTACGTTTTTCTATTACTATTTTATTGTTAATTTTAAGATATATTTATGACTCTATCAGGCAAGTACTTATTTTCTGAGAATCTTGATCCCTGCTTTTTTACCATTCCTTATTTTCTGTTCTTAGATAAACATTCAGGGGACAGACACACACCCACAGGAAAAAAAGGAAGAAAGAAAATTGAAATGCAACATTATTTACACATCACTTTTACAGATGGGAAAGTCTCAATAAATCTTGTAGTTAATGTTTTAAATGCGTAAACATTAATGGATAGACTGTAGAATATTTTATATTATGATTTATTTTGTCAATCTTTCAAGATGAAGTGCTCACTTGGTCCAATTATTCAAGGGACTTAATATTCTAAAAGAACCATCATATCTTTTACTATTCTTTATAGATATTATTGGTCTGAGATGAGGATTTCTACTCATAACATATCACAATTTAGAATAAGGTAACAAGTTGTCTACTCTTTATCATGCACTAGCTAAAGGATTTTTGGACCGGCCATGTATGGATGAAGTTGCTGCATGGTTTTTGATTCTATATTTATGGCATTTAATTTGTGCTCGGGGTATTTTTGTCGCCTGTTTAAGAAAAATATTTAGCATTCTTCTACCTGTATTTTCTCCATCCCTAGCAACAACAAAAGGAAATATTAGTAATTTCGTGCATATTGAACTTCTTTTCCAAATTCCTCTCCCAAATCCTCCAATTCTTGTTTTATCTCTCTCTCTCTTTTCCACTCTACGTCATACTTTTTTCCTTTTCTCATTTTGTCGGGAAGTTTTTGAAATACATCTGTCATTTCTTCATGTTCCTTATGTGAAACTGTTGTACAATTTGTTGTTTGCTTAGGCTTTTGGGGAGCTCTTATGTACGCTATTATCTTAAACTACTGGCTACAGCTTTTGCATGTTAACATATTTGTTGGACTTCTTTATGAAATATTTGTTGGTTTCTCTTACATTTATCTATCTGCCGTTGTCTGTAGCAAATTCATCAAGTAATCATGTCCCTAAGTTTCACGTCAGTTGAGATCAAGACAATAAATTCTCTTGAATCATTGAATGGAGGTGTTCTCGTGGTGGTTTCTGGTTCTGTAAAGTCAAGGGATTTTGATGGGTGGAGAAAATTCGTGCAGACGTTTTTCCTTGCTCCCCAAGAGAGCAGTTATTTTGTTCTGAATGATATCTTTCACTTTGCTGACGAGAAGGTTCCTCTCCAACCTCCACCTACATCAGTGGAGGAACAGAAAAATGATTACCAACCAAATATTTCTGCTCATCTTCCCGAGACACCAGGTAGTTGTGTGATTTGGTTTTGCAGATATATTTGTTTACCATGAACACTCTATGTTTTCCAAATAGAGCTCGAAGTAATTCTCACAGGTATCTGTTTAACACGAGGATTTTATGCCTTCATTTTCTTTCCTTAACTGCTTTTGATAGGTATCAAAGCAAATGATGTTCATTTGAATTGGCTAACTTTCGGCATCTATGTAAAAGCATTACTGGATTTCATTATAGCTTCATAACCATTGTGATTATCACACACACACATTTTCCCTTTCAAGTTTGACTGGAGCAAGTACTAGTTTAGCTACTGCTAAATATCAAGATTGCAAATTCTTTTAAGTTCGGTTGTGTTTGTGCTTGGAGTTGTTTTGTTTTTGAAACTATAGATCATTCTTTTAGGCGTAAATAAAATTTTCATGAGAGAGGGATGAACAGGTTCGAGGAATTCTTCGGGAGAGAAAAAGTTGTTTCATAAATGGAATTTGAATTGTTTACACTCTTTCCAGTCATCTATATACTATTGATGACTGGGTCAATGACTCATACAAAACGATATAGCTAGTGCTGACTCAGCATTATAATCAGAACTTTGCCCCTGTTTGAGCACTATTTTGGGGAAATAATGTATTTTGGAATATTTTTTTTGGAGAATGTGTGGTTAAAAATGAGAAAAAGTTTTCGATTTACGTATAAAATTATTTTATTGGAGAATGAAAAAATGAATTTTTGATAAAATGGGGCTCAGACAAGGGCTATATATACGCATAAACAATGATTACATTCCAACAACGTTCTATTGAATTTGTGTGAGAAATGATATCTTGCACAAATGTTTATACGCTTTCTTTTGGGCTAACATGTTTTGTTTGTAAAAGTCTCTGACGATGCCTTGGAGGAGGAGGCCAGGGAATACATGTACTCTGTTCATATTGAAGGAGATGAGCCGGTAGAAGGATATAGTTTTCAGAAGCATGATTCCGAGGCCGAAACAGTAGACAAGGAACCTGCTTTTGAAGAATCAAGTGTGTTGATTCAAGATTCAGGTACTACTGTGCAAGAAGCCATGCCTGCTGCAGAGAAACCTGTTGGAGAGCTTCCAAAGTTGACTTATGCTTCCATAGTATGTACCATTGCCAGTCATGCTAGTAAAAGACTAATTGATAAAAAAATTTGTGATTGGTTTGCATCACATTGCCAGTTTCCTGCTTATGTCACATGGATATCATATAAGTTGGTAATGTGTTATACGATTTAGGTATGGACATTGCATTGTAGTCTACGGGAACTTGTATTGAGAAATAGGATAATTAATAATCTTTCAAGTATGCACCCAGTACTTTCTTAACACTGTCCCATTTCATTTGTTGGTACGCTCATATCATAATAAATAAAAATTGATACCATAGAATTTCTGCAGTACAAAAGCACTGGGAATATATGAGTACTGAAAAATGCATCATCTATTCAATGCTCTTTTGCATGTGGTACTTGAAGTCCTAGAAATCTGCTAGATGTTTATTGCCCTTCCTCATTTCTTACCCTGTTATTCCTATCTAGATTCTTAGAAAACAGTTGTGAACTCATACTGTAGGACAAGGTTCTGGTTATCCTTCTGTAATGCCTTGGTTTTTGGAGGAAGCTGACAACTCGGTAGTGGAATATTATGTTCTTGGTTAGGAAAGATTGTCCTGGCCTTTGAACAATATGTACTTCTAGTGAAATGATCCCTGCAAGTATGTGCAAAATAAGTAAGTTTTTGTGGGATAGTTGTAGAAATCTGATGGATAAATTTTTATGGGAAAATAGATACTTTTATCTCCTCTTTCTTGTCATGCTCATTTTCATAATGAACCTTTGAAGTGTTCTTCACACTATCTAACTGATTTTCATTCCACTCTTCTCTTTGTTTTAATTCTTGGAAAATTAAAAGTTGCTGGCCCCTAAAGGAAAACTTGCACCATCAGTCAGTTTTCAGCCATCTTTCACTTACAGCAATCAACCTGCTTCAAATTGGTACCAAGCATCACCAGTTCAGCAGTCAAACCCTGTGGTGTCAGGTGTACCAGATTCTGGGTTGAATTTAGTTGATAATGGTTTATCACAAGAGGAAGGTAAGAAATTTTACCTTCATTTTTCTTTTATTTTTTTGGTGATGAAATATGGTTTGAAGTCATAATATTTATATGAATTTCAAAATGTATTGCTAAACGTATAGTACTCTATTGATATATGTGAAACATTTGCGGTGTTTGAGGAAAATCTTACTTCAGTATCAATATATGTGAAGTAGTGGCGATGTCTGGGGAAAATCTTATTTTAGTATCGTTGTTAGGAATTTATTCAATAGTTGGATGTGGTCAACCTCTTATGTTGTTGTATGGTACATTTCTCATTTCAGTGGCAATAATCAAGCCTTTGATATCAGCATGTAAATTTGGAGGAGTTTGCTTTAAGAGCTATTTAAGGGATATTGATTTTGAAAAAATATCCATTTCTTTTTTCTCCTGGGTTTTGGGTGACTAATCGAATATGCCCATTAATGGATGAGCTGTCAGTATAATTTGTTGCAAGTGGACTTTTTTACATACTTCAAACTACTTGTCCTTTTAATTCAATCATATCAAATTGATCAAAGCAACTTTTCGGTAGGGGATTCAAGATCTGTCTATGTGAAGAATCTGCCTTCTAGTGTTACTAGGCTAGATATTCTCCAAGAGTTTAAGAACTTCGGGAAAATCAAGCACGATGGAGTCTTTTTAAAAAATCGCCAGGTTCATTTTCTTTCCATTTTCTTTTGTCATGTGCTTTAAGGTGTAAATTCGTGGGATCTCTGATTTCTTAATTGATGGACAGGATACTGGTGTTTGCTATGCATTTGTTGAGTTTGAAGATGTGCAGAGTGCTCGGAATGCTATCAAGGTCTGAACTCTTATCAGTCAATGTTATGTTGTCTTTGGATCAAGATAGGAGCTGTTTCATTAGATATTATTTTCTATAAATTTTACATGTTGTTCCCACTGCTTTCCATTTCTTTACCTTTTCTTTGGGCCCATCACAGCCTAACAGTTTGTTTAGTCTATCCCTCCCTCTCCTTATTTAAATATCTTCGGTGTATAGATATTTTCCATTACACATCTGGCATTTAGTTCGCCAAGCTACCCGTAAATAAAGGATTCAAACTTTCTCCCCAATCAAGGTGATAGACCACGTTATGGCCGATGTTATTAACAGCAAAAGGGCAAAATGGTGCTCCTTCTTGGTTTGCGGACTCTAAAAAGTTGAAATAAAAAAGAAATTTGGAGTACATTTGTGATTTCAGGTAGATTAATCAAGGTATATTCAAAGATGAATATTTTTTTTTTGTTCATGACCATGGGTGTCTGGACCAGTTTACACGCACCTCAATTAATCCCAAGAAACCCTGAAATTTACAGTCACTCACCTCAGTGTTCTTGAGAGGACTTGAACTGGTGATCACTGGGGTGAATAAATATAAAGGAGAAATTTGAAAAAGAATTCAAAGCTTAAAAGGAGCCCTTCCATTATTTTTCAATGTTGCCTGGGCAATCATCGAATTGCTTTGGAAATTAAGCAGGCTACTGTCCTGGCTTGCTCAATGAATGTTCTATTAGCTACCAGCAGTTTCTTAGACTTGCAAATCAGATATTAAATTAGAGCGTAGTATTCCCATTCAAAATTTCTTTTAGTTTTAAATTATTGTTGGGATGTTACAGATGATCTTTTCAATTATCAATCCCAGTCATTATTTGTTCATTTATTCTGTCTTTTTCTTTTTTAGGCATCTCCAGTTCAGTTGTCTGGAAGGCCAGTCTACATTGAGGAGAGAAGACCAAATAACAGCAGCGCTTCTCGTGGAGGGAGTATGTTTCCATAAATTTCCATTTCTTTGCTAATAGAAACCTAGCTGGCTTAATTTTCACATCTTCTTTTATGCTAGGGAAAAAGGCCAAAATCTTTTCTTTTGACTTGTCAAATGTCCTCTCTGTATAATACTGCTTGCTAAACATGCCGTTATTGAACTCATCTTGGTCACTATCTCTTGGGTTCCATATGAATTGCATTTGTCTTATCCTTTTTGCAGTGTCCTTCTGGGAAATCATTGGAAGGGAAATATTGTGTTTAACAATATTTTAGAATTGTATTTGATACTTATTTCAAGCAGAAATTCTAGGACGAACTCAAACAAAAGAAACATAACATGAGTTCAATGTCACTAGGTAGATTGAAACATTGGCATCATAGACAACTAGACAAGTTATCTCTTTCTTTCTTTATTTCATTTTTCAATGAAGAAATGGGAAGATTATGGCAATTTTCTTATATTGTAAATATTCCTATTTAACTTGTGATATTTAAGCACTCATTTACTATACATGTTTGTTTCCTATTGACATATTTTTTGCTCTGAAATTGGCTTGACCAGGAAGTGGAAGGGGAAGAGGCAAAGGAGGTCGTTTTGGTACAAGGACTTTTGCAGGGACAACATAGTGGGAAGCGTTTCTCTGGTACTTGCTGACATAAAGATAATTGAAACAGAGGATTAATTATGCTATTCTCTTGATTGTTTTTTATTTCCAATTCAAGAGGGCATATTTGCTTTTTGGAGCTTTGTTTTTTATGAAATGATATTGTTGCAGTCTACCTTATCACACACACCATAAATGTTTTTAATGATATAATATTTGCTACCTCATAAGAACTTGGAGATATGGGTATCCGTAGTCTGTCTACAAGAATTATATGATCAAAAATTACATGACAATTTATATTGTGATGCCTGAAAGTTGAAAATGCATCTAATCTTCCTATCATCCCCTTGCATTGTTTTTCATTGCATGCTTGAAAGTTTGACTACATTAAGCACTTGTTGAAACCATGACTTGGCTGTGGCTGGACAGCATCCCAAGGAAAGAATCCTTGGATGCCTCGTCTTGATCGTCTTCTTCTATTTCCCATAGGAGACTGGCATATGCTGCTTGAATGTGGCTGGTGACACACATTGTAATCGCATGTTTATCAAGGCGGATTAGGTCACTTGTTGGAATTTTGCATACCAAATATGTAGTAGACAAGATTAAAGATTTATTATTTTTTTTTTAAACTACAAACCTGTCATATGAGAAGATGCTTGAACTGCTCTTTCAAAATAGTTTGTGGCTAGATCTTCATCACGGTGTAGTTCCCACACTAATTTAGCATATTTTGAGAGAATTTTACCTTCTTCTGGATCAGCCAAAATAGCCCTGGGATGACTCCTTGAAGGTCTCCTTTTGTCTGCCAAAAAAAGGCAAATCACTGTTCATCTTTAAAGTTTAAAGCAAGAAACTATGGAAGATTTAGCTGACCACCTCATAAAAGTGTTTTAAGATCTTATAGCGTGTTTGATATGGTTAATTGGGTAGGAATTACAGGATTAAGAAAAATATTTGTCTATTGTCATGTCCGGTCTATTCTACAAAAAAAACCCTTAGAGCAAATTTTATATACATTCTAGTGAAGGAACTTTACTTGATACAAGAACTAATATCAGCATCCCAAGCCCTGTTGCATGATACATTTTCCTCTCTCCTTCAAACCTCAAAGTATCAAATTCGTTCACACTTTTCATCTCTTCTTTTATATGCATGTTATGCACCTTGAATTGGTTCACTATTAAATTCACTGTTTTCCTCGATACTTTCAACAGCCCATTCATTTTCTTCCTCTTCCTCTTCCTCGTCCTCGTCTTCAACTTCTTGGCATGTTCCCAAGTGCGACAAGAGAGATGGGATTGGCTCCAACCAGAAGCAGTTAGGTTTATGGGCTAATTTCTTGGACACATTGGAGAAACTAAACTCATCCACATTTGATAATTCTTCCAGGTTTCCATCAGATTGAGCTCTTCGAAATCCGCTCAGGGAACTTTGTTTGGTGCTCGAGGGAGAAGAATGCCATAAGATTTAGGGTGATGTTGAGATACACGAGTTTTTGATGAATTGAAGTTGGTGTAGCATTAGGCACTTCATATTGGCAGTGATTATTGTTGTGAGTTTCTGATAAGGAGGAGAGTAGGGACCCAAGAACTGGAGTAGATGAGCTTTTCAGCAACATTTTTTT